TCAGAGAGTTCATGCGGGCCTTTCATGTTAAAGGAACTTGAAAGAAAAAGAAAGGAAATGTATATTTTCAGCCTTAGTTGTGATTAAGTGAGCTCAGGCCATGAGAACATTTAGATGATTTACATGACATTACATGAAGAGCCAATTAGCCTAACAACTTCCGAAAAATATCTAGCTCAAGAGCACCCATTTATTAGAGTGTTTGGAATGTGCTGGGTGTTGTGCTAAGCTCTTTCCTAGGATACATGAGTCATCTCAGCCTTGCTCCCACAGTGCAAGGCAGGCTCTGGGGTGACACCCATTTACCCCTGAGGAAGCTGAGGCTCAGAGAGGGTCGGTGATTTATCTGCGGTCCCCCGGCTAATAAATGACAGGGCAGGGATGGAAACCAGGTCTGTCTAAATCCAAACCTAGAGCTCTCTTGTTCCATCCCTCAACACTTAAGAGCTCTGATTGTGTCCTGCGTTCAGCATCTGATGACAGCGTGATCCACCTGGTTCATTTGTGTGAAAATGAAGCCTGGGCTGTGTGAGTCCAGAAGATTCTGGGGCCTCCCTGCAGTTGGCCCTGGTCCCCAAACTCCCTGGTCACCTCCAGGAGGGGCAGCCACAGCAGATCCCACTCACCACCCCACAGAGGAACCCCAGGGCCTATCATCTCTGTTTGGGATCTGAGGCAGCGCCCAGAGGAAGCAGTCTAGGGTGAGCCCAAGGGAGAGATGGTACGGGCTGAGGTCTGTCTGACTCAAGGCAGATGCTCTGGGCCCTCTCAACCAGCAAAGGGCTTGAGCCACCCTATTCAGACCAGCCAGGAAGTTTCCCCAATCCTCCTGGTGGCCCCTGTATGCAACGTGAGCCACCCAGCAAGCTGGGATTCTATTAGTGACAGCTCATTCATCAGCATTTGTCTGCAAAGATCACAGAGCAGATAAGGACACCCTCTGGAATTTTAGAAGTCACCACACTAGAGTGTGGTGGTTAGGGTAGCTCAGGAGTCAGACTGCCAGGGTTCGGAATACTAATACCCTCACTTCTAAGCTGTGAGACCTGCAATGACTTATTCAACCTCTCTGAGCTTTTTAGTTTCCTCATTCATAAATGGGGATAATAGTCCCTATGTCATAGGATTGGTATATGGTGAATAAATGAGTTAATGTGTGTGAAGCTCTTGCCACGATGCCTGGCACATAGTAATCACTCAGTAATATGAAGTCACTGTGTGGATGATGGATTCAGTGCTGACCAGACAAGGCGCTGCTGCAGAGGTTGGTATATATCTTATGGGGACTAGCCTGAATACCTTTTCCTCTCTATCTCTCCAAGCACTACAGAGCCTTCCAGGCCCAGACGAAATCTGCCTCCTTCAGGAAACCAGCCTGACCATTCCAGCCACATTGATCTCCCCATATCTGAGCTCCTTCTGCCCATCATCTGTACAGATTAATATAGTAACAAACTCAGCTCTAGTAATTTCTGAGCTTCTCAAACAGTCAATGCCTCCTGGAGGGCAGGTCCCCACTTCAGCCCCTCCCTTCTCCACAGCCTGAGTCCAGGTATAGGGTAGAGGCTCCCTCAGCAAGCCTTCAGGCTGATTTCAGTGTGGCTGTGGATGTCTGAGCCTCAGCTTCTCTCTCCCAGCCTTACTGCACCTCACTCCTCTGTTCTCCCTACTCACCCACCCCCTCCCCTGGTTCCACCCAGCAGGGCAAGAGGTTGGGGCCATGACCCCATAGGGCAGCAGATCCCAGACCTTGGGATTTCACAGCCCTATAAAATGTCCAAAGAAATTTGGGGTGGCAGAGGGAACAGAGAGTAGCCAAGTTTTTCTTTTGCCAAATAAGGATATTTAAAAAATCAATTCTTACTATCATTTTAGTAAAGAAAGGCTGTTTTCATCCCAATAGAGCAGAAAGTTCATAATCTCTGATTAAAGGCTAATACTTTAAGCTGAAAAAAATTTAGCCTTATTGAGAAAAACTAACCAACCACTTCACTGTTGCCCTGACTTCTCTCCTTTCTCCATGGAGAAAACTTCAGTCCCCACTGGCCTATGTCCACTGCGACGGCATGGGTCTTTGGACCTTCTCCTGGAGGAAGGAGGCTCCTGCTAAGCTGGGGTCACCCGCAAACAGAGGAGGACCTCCAAAGCCTTTGGATTAGGCAGATTTGTATTCACATTCAACTTCCCAGAGGACGCTCAATCCAAAGCCAGACCCTGCAACCTCAGGGGCAGGGGATGGGGGGAAGCTGTGGGCCCCTTCTCCTGTACCCTCTCCCCTCTCAACTGGGCCAAGTCAGGCTGGAACAACCCTCCCCCCGCCTCCACTCTAGAGGGGATGGGTGAGACTGAGCAGCAAGCTCACAGCAAGGAAAGGAGCCGGGGGAGACCTAAAGGGCAGGGTCTTCCCACATCTCCATCACCAAGCTGAGCACCAGTGCCCAACCCCCTCCC